GCAGTTCAAGTCACCACACTCCATGTAGCACACAAAGCAAGAGAAGAAATGTTTAGTAGAGACAGTAGACAGGGATATGAGACAAAAAGAATAGCAGTATCGAAGAACAATATAGTTTGGTTGGAAATTATCAGTCACAGGAGTGGATGCATCCGCAACAGCCATTGAGAACGATTTTAAGCCGTGTAACCAATTGTCCCCAGACTTCATTGGTTTCTACCGTCCCGAGGACCCAACCGGCCATGATGTCTACACCTTCCTACGTGACTGGCTTAAACTAACTGTTGCGGATTTCATTGACTGATGAGGCCATGTTTTGGTTTGACCACCGCTAGCTCTTTTCCAGACTGACCTTGTGTCAACTAACATTGCCCGTCGACGAAGGCGTGACTAAGCATAAGCACCAAATGCCCTAACCATCTCAGTCGATGTAGCTTCACAGCCTCGTCTATTGATTTCACCCCTCTTTACCCAGCACTCGACCGATGTCTAACCTCAATATTGCTCACCCTATTATACCACTCCACACGGGAGATAGAACTCAGGCACCTATGATCAAAGACAGCTAACCAGGCTTTTCATTATCCCACTTTCAGTGGCCATGTCTCGCTCACAGACATAAAGGAGCACGGAGCGAACTGATCAGCAGTACACACACCCTTTCGTCCACAGCCAGAGGGATATCACGTCTGCGTCAGTGATGACGTAAGTTGGCATATGCGAAACGAGCCTTCTGGATCCGCCGTGTTGAGATTTCGTCAACGATCAACCCGTCGGCGTTGGCTAATGCAACTTCCCAAATAAGTGAAGTGGTCCATACGCTTTACCACTTCAATTCCTATTTCTGAGCTAGCAGCCAATGTAATCCAAACTTGTCCTGTAGCATCATCTTACATTTGACGGGAGCGAATTGCATGCTAAACATTCGCAGATTGCTGCTCAAGATATTCGGAGGGTGAAGATATGACCAATACATCTTCCTGGTTTAAAGCCTGCCTGATTCTCTCGTGTTTGTTCCTCCCGTGGACCGCTTAGTCTGCACATGATTTTTGAGCCTAGAACTTTAGATACAACCATATTAGTCAAGCTAACCCCCCTGTGATTATCACAGGAAGACCTGTCTCCCTTCTTGTATGTTGGGATAATCAATGACTTACACCAGCTCGACGGGACTTCCTCTGATTCCCAGACGCTGCATAGCGCCTTAGTTAATGCAGACAGTAAACTGTCTCCAACGTCCTTAAAAGTGCGTCGGTGGCATAGCGGTTAGGATGCTCGCCGACCATGCACATGGTCCGGGGTTCGATCCCCGGCCGACGCACTCCTTTACCTCGCTAAGCCAGAAATAAAAACGCTGGTAAAGGGGAAAGGTTGGACATGAGGCTAGCAACCTCATCCTGTAAAAGTAAACACTGCTAAAGAAACTTCAAGTCTCTTGCTTGAAGCCCTATGTTCCACTGGGAACGTGAAGGAATAAAAAAAACGTCCTTAAAAATCGCTGCTGGAGTCATTCGATCACGTCCCACTGCTTTGTTGGATGTTCGGTAAGTTGAGTGTGGCTGTACTCCAATTAAACTGCTCCTCAAAGTGTTCTTTCCAGTCGTCTATCCTGGGAGCTAATTATGGTGCCATTTTTCTCAGAGATTGTTTCATTTATCATTTGCCTTTTACCAAGTGTTTCCCTGATAAGTCGAAATAGTTGTCTGGTGTTACCAATCGCGACGCCTTTTCCATCTCCTTTGCTTTTGTCGCCCACCACTGTTCACGGTCATCGAGAAGACTTAAGAGCAGTTTTCGCTCCTCATCATATTCGGAGCTCCCCGGAATCAGTCTTCTTGCCGTAATCAATTCGGATGAGGTGGGAGAAATCAACTGGTGCTTACTAACTTTTGGTTTTAAGTTATTTACAGCTTTTACAACTGCGTCTACAGCCAAATGTATATTGTGAAAGGCTTCCTAAGGAGGAGTCTTCCTGTCGACCTCGGATACTCGTTTCTCTACTTCTTCTTTAAATAGAGACTCACTGTCTTCATGTAGTTGGGGATTAAACTGCTTCGCTGCCAACAGTTTTCTATGTCTATCTAATCGTAAGCATAAACGTGCGCAAACCAGGGCGTGATCGGAGTCTACTCACGTGTTGCAGAAGGAGCAGCATTTTTCTACTGACCCTCACCAACGATACCCTATTGCTATGTGATCTATCGGATTCCAGCGTTGATTTGGCTTCTTCGCCTATAAGTCTTCGAGTTTGTGTGACATTAGACATATATCATCCACACGGGAAATCCAGGTCTTCTTATCGGTCGTCCAGCGTATTCCTGTCTCCTCACCTCCAAGCACAATCCAGTACACTACATTTAAGAATATCATCGTGGGCGATAATAGGCAGGCTATGTTGTCTTACTCATATATGCACTTTGAATTTCCTGCTGAGTTTCCCGTTGTGGATCACCTCACTAACACGTGGCATTGTCATATAGTCAGCTAATGAATGGAGTTGATACAGACATGGGCACTGCACGCCGCAGTGTTGAAGTAGTTTCCAAATTACTTCTCAGTCAACACTGTCTGTCGAAGGCGTTCTCGAAGTCAATGGAGTTGAGGTTGAGAGAGGTTTGACTGTCACTCTATGCTTTGTTCTGTGATGACGATGCGTAGAGTTGCAATTTGATCAGCACATGATTTGGCTTTCGCGAATCTAGCCAGCTTGTTCCGGTGGGGTTAGTAGATTTCTGTATCCAGTGCGCCCTTTATTCTCTCCAGGATGATGCGACTCAGTATTTCACTTGGAGTGGACAAGAGCACTATTCCACGCTAGTCAGTTCTTGTACAGTCCTAACTATTTCGCCCTTCTTTGGCAGCTTGGTGAGGTGGTCTTCCTTCCATTTGGTATGTACCTTTCCTTCCTTCCAAACCTTTTGCAATAATGGCGTGAGCACATCTGCCGTAATCTCTGCGTCCGTTTTCAGTGCTTCGAGGGGGATTCCGTCTGGTCCTGCTGCCTTCTCTGTTGGAATCCAGTATCTTGATAGCATTTAGGATTTCTGCTTTCGTTGGAGGAGTGGCGTCCACTGGCAGAACCGGACACACAGTGAAGCATAATCAGAATCTATACATGTGCTTCCAAAGGAGAGGCAGTCATATATGTACCTATGCCATCAGAAACTGGCAGAAACGTGAACATTCTGAATCCTTGATTGATTGGGATAAGGAGGACGCCCAGCAGCGCTACAGAGACGGCTGTGCTAGAAGTCGATGGCTAGAAATAAGTTTTGATCTGCGCAAAGCTGAGAAGATGGTCCCCATTATCTGACCTGCGACCTTGTAAACTTCACTAACCACCTAGGTGACTATCCTACGAGCCAAGACGCCTGACCCATGCATTCAAGTCCCCAGCTAGTAGTACGATACTTCTCTGATGCTCCTGATTCAGAAGCTCGTTAAGTCGGTAGTAAAATGTATCCTTAATTGCATCCGAGCAGCAATCCGTCGGTGCATAGGCAGAGATGAAAAATAGGTGCCGCATTTCTTACCGATCGCTTCCTACTCGTCGTATAAACTTCTAGCCTCACAGCGCATAGACGACTGTCCAGTCGAGTAATGAAGCTTCAATTCTAGCACTCAGTGTGACAAAAACATCAGTCACTCTAGATACCACAGAAGGTAGACACAATCTGAACATCCAGATGGAAGAGATATCCGATATTCTAGAAGATAAGCAGTACAAGATTTAGAATGCAGCAGATATAGATAGCGAGGATTTCTAATATTCTGGCCAGACCTGCTTGTTGTCTGGTTCGTATCAGTTTGCGAAAATTGTACCTGTACGCTTGAAAGCGACAAGCGGTTTCCGGATATCCACATTCGATATCGCACCGGAGACCAGAACTTTGGAAGCTAATCACTAACAACTCCTAACGGTAGAGATGGGATGAGATTTCAAACAAAAGTGAAAAGCTGACGGAGGTGAAGATACCAAATATACTAAAGCTGATAAAAGATCTATATATTAAAAGAAAGTCAGAAAGGATCACGTTACTGAAAATATGCTCGAAGTCTGTAATAGTGAGTGCGCAATTATAATGTCTCATGAATTTACTGTTTCATAGCTTGTGCTAAGGCTGGGATACTCCTCGGGTGTCGAGACCGGAGCAGGTGGTTGTCTTAAGAGACCACCCTCAAACCTTTGACCTGACCTACGAGAAAATGAAGCAGCGTTCCACAGTTGCCGGTGGTCAAAACAGGTTCATACGCCATCTGGACCTTTTGAATCTTGGAGCCCATGTACACTATAGGTCTGGAATCAGGGTTTTCCAACTCCCCTAGATAGACATGCATGTCCACCAGCCCGGTTGTAAACACCACACGTTCGCATTCGCCCTTTCACTCTTGTGAGGAACAACCCCGCCGTGGGAAGGCAATGAATAGGACTTGACTGACAGGGAATATGAACGCGTGATTACATGAAAGAATTTCGAGAGGGAGACTGAAGTCTACTCACTCTTCATCGTACCAGTTAGCTTATGGGGTCCATAATGTATCACATCAGCATAAAGGTAATATGAATCCAGTTTACCTATGACCTGTTTCCATGATACATTTTTAATGTAGCAAGGCAAAAACATTCGCCAGAATTGTGCCTTATGGAAAACCCACAGGGATATTATAGATTCATCTCTACAAGTTGTCATTGAATGTGAACCGTACTCAAGTAAAGTGGCTTCTGAGAGGAGGATTTAATTTTTGTTCAGCTTAGAATGATCTGTGTACAATTGGATATGCCGATCGCACAACCTGACTAAACTTTAGTATATTAATTATTTGATTAACGTGAAGCTATATTTCTTTATTTAAACTAATACTATGCCTCCGCGGTTATTCAACCACATGACTAATTGATAATGTAACTCGGAACAAAGTATAATCACACAGCGTCGAGCGGACACGATTTCCTTTGCATCCAACAGTAAATTCCTAAGTACATAAGCAGATCTAAATACAACGAATTATACACTTCCAGAAATTTTATTACAATAAAAAAAGTAAGCATACTGATCATGATACTGAATTATTTATTTTAATAAAAAATAAAAACCTAGACTTCATCATGGCAGACATGCAGTTGACTAAACACAAACTCAGCGGTTAGTTTAAATCAGTTGTGGACAATTTAGTCACGACAAAATAACTGCTTCTAAACTGGTTGGAAAGAAATTATCCACAAACAAAAGTACACATATTTGAACAGACGGTACTGGACTCGTTGGAGACCTTACAAGCAACTCATCACATATTGAAAGGCATTCACTACTCAAAAATATTTGAAAGGCACAGTATTTAATATTCATATTTACATAATTAAAAGAAGTTGTAGATGGTGAATCATTACAATCCTAGTTATAACAGGATATCAGTTCTCGGATTCAGATTGTGAAAGTGGTTATGGTGAAACAGAAATCTCAATGTGATTGTGATAGGCTCCGGAAGAAACATTCTGTTTATTCTGCAAAACTACCATAGAATTATTATTATTAGGATGACTGGCATTTCTGTAGGCTGGTTGTTCATCTTCACAAAACTGTTCTAAACGAGCATGAATTGTTGCAAATGAAGGCCGTTTATTTTCATCAGCTGCCCAACATTCTAGCATAAGATCATACAATTCAGGTGGACAACCTGGTGGCTTAGACATACGGTAACCGGCATCCACTTGTCTAAGCACTTCTGCATTGTGCATTCCTGGATACGGAGAACGACCATATGTAACTATTTCAGTCAGTAAAATCCCGAAAGACCATACATCAGATTTTATTGTAAAACGCGAATAATTAGCCGCCTCCGGTGATGTCCACTTTATAGGAAATCTAGCTCCTGCATGTGCTACATATTCTCTATTCTACAACAGAAAAATAATTCAACAACATTAAAATAAGTTCATATAAGTATAACTGTCAGAAATTGAAAAAGGCACATTAACAACAAAACGGAAAACCATGTTATTTTCTACTGAATATAAAGGTCTATCATCTGATTTAATAGTATATCTATGCAAAATTACACATAATATAATAGTAGGTAAGACGAAAACTGACAGAAACAGCCATACGTCATGTTATATAGTAAAATGTTCAGCTTTAAAATTAATACAGATCAAGTGCCCATGAAATGCTACCTTTAATCTTAGCAGACCTCGTGACAACCGCTAGTAAAATTGCCACAAAATATATCGAACAGTAGTAGAAATAAGGAAACACTACACACACACGCTTCATTATAACTTATGAAATAAAGTTGAAAGCTATTATTCTATGAGTCAGTCTGCAGTAAGTAGGATACGGTTACGTTTTCGTATTTAAATAAACGGGCATAAATTCAATTCAAAATGATTCTAATTTTCTCTGGAGAAACACAAGAGGAAAGATATGAATAAATAGGGTGTTCAGGATTCGACAGCATAATCTCAGCCAACTGCTTGCACAATTTCAAAGGCCTGCAGATGGGTTAGGAGCACACTAATCCTGTTTACAGCTTTCTGTCTCTATTTAGAGAGAGAAAAAGACAAGAAACTATAAATTGGAAAATAGGTTCGATAATGCCAAAATGTTTCGGCTCCCATAAGTAGTGGATAGCAAAGCAGCAAGACAAGAGACGATCGAAAAAGGAACTTGTGCTTAAACCTGTTATATTCGCTTTATTTTATATAACAGCACCAGTGATATTACAAGATCCAAGGGATACTATGGCGGTTCCTACCCAAAATTTACGAAAAACGTCTAATTGTAAGATGAGCGAGTATAAATAATATGATTTGAAGACTAATTTACGTCGAACAGAGTGTTTAGCAATCCTACACCTCAATTTCACTAGATCATTCGGTAATGCTAAATAATCTGCTCGACGAGATTTTTTGAAAGAATGTATTCAGACTAATATATATCCTCTGACATTTTACAAATTTAAGTGAATAAAACATAATCAGAAGTAATTCGAGGCAAGAAAGGTATTTTTTCTAGCCCTAAGTTCAAACAGACCAACAACAACAACAATTAATTAACTTCATTCTTTTGACACCTACACATGTGCAACTGATTATGTTCGAATATACGATTATGACCACAATAATTGGGGAAAAATATTTGTAATTGATTGAATGAAACTTCGAGGTCTTATGTCGAATCAATAAACTCCATAAAGGCTAAGATTTATCGTGCTGGTTACCTATTTGCCTACAAAGAAATTAGCTTACAGTAATCTAAAACCAAAACAGCAACATACTCATATTTCAAGGTTACTAGACATGTATTACATACAATCGAATTCATCGAAACTCCTATTTTTCTTTTTCGTTTCCTTAAATTGCCAAAGCATAACATATATATGTCAGCATTATTTGTGAGAAATACATATACCTTCATAAATGGTTTATTACATGCAGAGTTTCTTAAACAATTTTGAACTTTTATTCCGTTAGTAGTCAATGTGTGGTGAGAGCCAACTGCAAGCCGAAATTGTAGACAATAATTTACGTCAATGTTCACGTCCCGAATCGGGGTCATGAGATAAAACACTAACAAAGCTTAACCTTGAGAAAATCACCAGCCAATCACAGCGGAGTTAACGTGTAGAAGTATGATTCACAGATATATGACTTGATTTTCTAAGAAATGGCCATAAAGAGATGACAGTATAACCTTCAGCAATAAAACAACCAAGACGTTGCTTCTCCACTGACAATAATGTACATAAAAATCTACAAATATCTCTTGATTTTCTCAATAAACGATCTGTTGCATGACTTTTGTCTTCTGTCGTTACAAATGTAAAATGTTCTGTTGGAACACTGACTAAGGGCAGACAAGCTTCATCAAGTTGTGCACTTGAATGAGGGAATACAGCATTTTGAGCCTTGCAAACAACATAGAATGTACATATTAAAAATCACTTGACAATGAAAATAACAAACAAAAATAACAGTACCAGTATGTTATTGTTCTAAATACGTACGAATAAAAGAAACTGACGATAGTTTTCTCTGAAAACAAAATATAAAGGTGAGGAAATAAGTCATTCGACAAAGTTCATTGGAATACAAAAGTAGGATGTCAGCTACACATGCAATGCTTTTCACTTATGCACATAAGTGTTTTTTTAACCCTGCGGTGCACGTAAAAGTTGTTTATCGACGAGCATATTCTAGTAAAAATATTTCTGTACGCACTTTTACTACTCATGAGTAGGCAAAGCGAAAAATAATAGAAAATTTGAGTCATAATGCCAAATTACAACACTTTTTTTCTGTTTCATCAGAGATGTATAAACAAAATTAGTCTCTGGAGGAAGCAATTTTTCCCCTGAATAACTAACAACGAAATGGACAATGTCATGAGTGATCCTAATCTTTGTGCTATCTCCCGCCGTACAAGAAATGAGATTAACTTCAGGTACATCAAAATTAGAACCGCCTCATTAATCATCAGCATAACTTTTTTCGTGTATTACCGATTTTATCAGGAAATACAAATGTAGGATGAATTCGCTGAAACTGCTCATCAAATTGCTAAAACCTCAGAGTGTGAAATGAAACTGTATACCAACGTTTTCGTCCCCTATATTTAAGTAAGTAGTTAATGTAGAGCGAACAATTTCAGTAAATTCAAAAAAAATTCAGTAGAATTAGGGATGAAGACTTTAGTAGTAGAGTTTTACAAAGACAGTATTAGTAGTAGCAGCAGAAGTACAGAAAGCTGTTGCACAGTGTTTACTACGAGAAACCACACACATTGACTGAAAACCTTTCTTTGAATGAGTTTGCCAATGAATAAGAAACGAAATAGCTCGGCGCCCAAATATTTTAGAACTATTCTGTCAAATCTTGACGACAGTTCATTTGAAATAGCTGTTTAGTTCGTCACTGTCGATTGCAATCCGCAATTCAGACTAACAAAGTGACAAATATTGATGTTATATTGTGACTGAAGTCAATGAGCCTTTGTTACTGCTAACACCTACCAGTATACACAATCGTCAAGGAATTCATTTCTGTAGGAAAGGTAGTTCTCACCAACGTTGCATAAATGCTTTAATAATGCAAACTAAAAAGTATGCAGGAGATTTCAGTCGACTCCTAAAATACCAATAAAATAGCTAGCATATTGCCGGTGTATAAAAAGAAACTTTCATGTAAAACCGAGCTTAGTACTACTTCGTCTCCTCACAGTAGGAAATTATATCCTTTTGTAACAGCAGAAGGCAAGACACGGAAACAAAGGCGTATTTTCCAGTGATCAAACAGCTATTTAATATATATATATATATACACTGTATGTTCTTTAACCAATCACTGAGTGTGTGATTTTGGTTTACATTAAACCATATGGAATAGAATGTTCAAATACATATTGCATTCTGTCGCTAATGCAGTATTGGACGGTAGGAATAGTATTCAGACGATAACAAATACAATGATTCTTGATGTGAGAATAATATTCCGTTGGAACCCATTGCCTGCATCACACCACCACACTATTATAACGAATAAAAAGTTATGTATTAAAAGAAACCGAACTCCACCATACATTTCTCATTGGTGTCCAAGAAATGCGCAAATTCTACATCATGTATCCAAGCATATAGGATACATTATTATTATTATTATTATTGATAGTAACTTGGCTTTATTCAGTACGTCAAAAAAAGAAAATAATGCAGTCCGTTTTTTATAGACAACCCAGACCCACCGCGGTACCGACATCATATTAAACCCTATGTTGTTTCCTTTAGAGACATTTTTAATCCATCCTTTCGTCGTATTCAATAGTTATATGAATAAAATTCTTCCCAATATTGTTTACCTACATGGTGCATATGATTTTGAAAAAAAAATCAAACGATATTATATGGACTGAGATTGGGGATTAAGTTGAAATTCAACTTGTCACATTTATTGTACTAGATAATACCCCAATACGAGGCTAATCTAAATTAACCAACTCTATCAATTTACGAGATACATTGACTTTCAATAGTTGACACGTGTTTTCAACAGTGACGTTATATGTAGATTGGTTTACACAGGATGCTAACGTTTTTTGCCAAAAAAATTTCTGTAAGCTTGAAAGTAAATTTACAATTTTCGTTCATTACTCTTCATCAATAATAAAATAAATATTTACAACATCAACAAAACATCTCTGAGTGTAAAATTTTAGATTAGTCTTAGAAATGAACTTTCCATATTAGTTTGTTTATTAGATGTATCACACAGTGAAACAGTATTATTTACTGGATGACGTTTCGAACAAAATTTATTATTCACAATCATATCAATTGTAATCATATGACTTCGAAACTTGACTTTTATAGTTTTCTTTGTTCTCTCCTATTTGTCGTCGTATGCGTAGTAGAATCTAGATTTTAATGCTCGGCTAGTCCGACTGCCCCTGTTCTACTACTTTGACCTTTGTATACAACCTGACAATCATTACAGCAGGGTATTAGATAAACTAAATTGTTTTGTTATAACGGCTCCACAGGATCCTTTAACCGACAAAGCTTGTTTCTAATTGAGTTTGTGGGTTTGAATGCCAGCCACTTTTATTCCTGCCAGCATTGTTAAGAATTTTGCGTAAGGTTTCCGAGGTTTCTTTCCTTGTATAGAATTACTACTGATGATTTAGATTCCTTATTGCTGGTGTTGTCTTGCGCATGTTTAACATGCATTTCGTCATTATTACTACTATTATTATTATTGTTATTATTATCACTATCACTACTATCATTATTGATTTTATTTTTACATTTCCATACATACTTTCTGACTAGTTTATCAGGGTAATTATTAAGTTTCATAGCTTCTCTTATATGCCTGTCTTAGATTTTCCTAGGTACTACTTAGTT